ATAGGTAACTTCCCAATGTCACACTGCTAGCAAGTGGCAGCTTGGAACTGAAGTCAATAATGATATTTAATGGTTTGTGAATTCTACCACCTATTTCTCTATAAAATACACTACTATGCAATAGTCTCAAAAATGAAATGGTATTCCCTTGTCTTTGGAGACGTGTTGAGCGAGAAATTGCTGTGGCTTGGGTCAAAGAGATTTTTGCCTGCTTTCTTCTCTTGGGTTTTGATGGTTTCCTGTCTCACATTTAGGTCTTTCATTCATTTTGAGTTTGCTTTTGTGTATGGTGTAAGAAAGTGTTCCAGTTTCATTCTTCTGCATGTTGCTGTCCAGTTCTCCCAGCACCAAGTGTTAAAGAAGTTGTCTTTTTTCCATTGGATACTCTTGCCTGATTTGTCAAAGATTAGTTGGCCTTACATTTGTGGGTCCAATTATGGCTTCTCTATTCTATTCCATTGGTCTATGTGTCGGTTTTTGTGCCAGTACCAGCAATAGCACTGCTAGGAATTTACGCAAAGGATACAGGAGTGCTGATGCATAGAGGCACACGTACCCCAATGTTTATACAGCACTTTCAACAATAACCAAATTATGGAAAGAGTCTAAATGTCCATCAACTGGGGTGCCTGGGTGGCTTAGTTGGTTAAGCGTCCGACTTTCGCTTAGGTCATGATCTCACGGTTCATGGGTTCAAGCCCCGCGTCGGGCTCTGTGCTGACAGCCAGCTCAGAGCCTGGAGCCTGTTTCAGTCTGTGACTCCCTCTCTCTCTGACCCTCCCCTGCTCACGCTGTCTCTCTCTCTGTCTCCTAGAAATAAATAAACATTTAAAATAAAATAAAATAAAATGTCCATCAACTGATGAATGGATCAAGAAGATGTGGTTCATATATACAATGGAATACTACTTGGCAATGAGAAAGAATGAAATCATGACATTTGCAGCAATGTGGTTGGAACTGGAGGGTATTATGCTAAGAAATAAGTCAGTCAGAGAAAGACGGATATCATATGTTTTTTTTCATATGTGGAACTTGTGAAACTTAACAGAAGACCATGTAGGAAGGGAAGGGGGAAAAAGTTACAAATAGAAAGGGAGGGAGGTAAACCATAAGAGACTCTTAAATACAGAGAACAAACTGAGGGTTGATGGGGGAGGGAGAGGGGAAAATGGTGATGGGCATTGAGGAGGGCACTTGTTGGGATAATCACTGGTTATTGTATGTAAGCGATGAATCATGGGAATATACCCCCAAAATCAAGAGCACACTGTATACATTGTATGTTAGGCAACTTGACAATAAAGTATATTAAAAAAATAAAACTATTTTTTGTAAAAATAGAGGTAAATATAAAAAAATGAAATGGTAATGAGGTTTCACTTATCTATAATATAACTTTTTAAGAACTTTTTTAGACATAGGCAGAAAAGTCATATTCTTTAAGAAATTAGAATTTGGGAATGATTCAATCCCAGATCTGTCTGGGTGTCTGTATGGCTCTAAGTGGCTCCTATAACTTAGTGACATTGCTATCAAACTATGGACCAGTTCCATGTTCAGGCAGTTGGACCAACTATGGTTATATCAGTTGGTGGGTCTATTTTCTGAACAAGTCAAAGTACTTTTCAGGGATAATACCACATATTTGGATGCCTACTATCCTTAAGTAGGTAATCTAATGTTCCTGAGTAGCACAGTCCCACAGGATCTGAGAGCTTAGAAGTCAAGTAAGTTACCACTGGTTATTCTAAATTCCATAAAATTTGCAGACAGTTGTGGTCATTCCCGATAGCTTGAATTCCTGTTACATGACAAAGAAAACACATCATATAAGACTTCAACCCAGAAGTCCCTGAGTCCCATAGACACAGTGTGACCAAAACACATGCAAGGCATAGATAATGGACATCATAAGGGTAAACTTTAATAATTTTCTACCTTAAGTAAAGTGCTGTGACTTTTACTCTATCCCCAAACTGAGGCTGATGTTCACAACTGGTTTTGCTGGATTAGCATACTTATGTTGGTCTGACGTGTTCTCGATGGTTATACTGCCTCTCCTTTTGGAAGGGTGGGGACATGTGTGCATGTATGCCACTGGCCATCCCCCTCTGCCATTAGAACTTTAGGGGCAAATAAACCAAACACGCAGGACCAGGGGAAGTTTTGGCAAACAGCAGACTCAACAGCAGGTGATGGGGCCTCATCTTGGAGACAGGTGCTCAAGACCATGACTCTGCTCCCTGGAAGGTCCGAGAGAGCTCAGCAGGGCCCCTGACGTATAGCAGCCAGGGTAGAGGAAGGATGGGAGATGACAAGACTCAGGCCTCGGGAAAGAAAGAAGGGTCTCAGCTGGACCTGACACCATGGAAAAGAGCAGGTCCACAGCAGGTAACGCATACAAGCCCGAAGAAGGCAGCACTTGATGTTGACTGGTACTGGGTTCAGAGCTGGATTGGTTCCAGAGTCTGGGCTCAGCTGAACTAAAAGTGGAGTCTGAATGGCTCCTGTTTCAAAGGGCAAAGGGCAACATGCAAAGGAGGCCAAGTTTACCATTACACAGTCGGTCCAAATCAGTTGAATGTTTAGTACGTAAGAGTGTGGCTCCATGAATGCTCACACGCTGCACACAAGCGTGTAACCAGCCCAGATCAAGAGAGAATGTTCCTGGAAATCCCCCTTCATGTCCCCTCCTGGTCAACCCCACCCCTCCAGGGTAAATTACTGCCTGGCTTCTGACCTCAGAGATTCAAACCTGAAGTTTCTAAAAATGGAACCTCTGATATTTATAAATCAGAACATCTGCATTTTTACCATCCTTTGGAGGCATCAGACCCAGCAACTGTGGGCATGTGCTCCCTGAGGGACAGGGGTCTGCTGAAGTAGAGGCAGGCGCCCTGAGGTGCACGGCCTCACCAGGACTCACCCTGTTTTGTCACCTGCCTGGCCTCTGCGACAAGAGCTTACGACACCCTTGCCATCTCTTGATCCCACATTCAATGTCTTTGTACTTTTGACCACCCCAAGTTTTAAGTACACCAGGATAATATTAGATAAATAAATGCATCTATCAAAAAAAGAAAGGTTTTCTCCCGATCAATCACTTTGCTCATTTTATACAAATGCTCTGCAGTTCCCTCACCCGGCCAAGATTTGTGGAGTTATTTATTCAAAATACATACAGGATATTTATGTCCATATAGTGAAATAGGCCCTTGGAATGAGTCAGAAGACCTGAATTCTACTCACATTCTGTCACTAAACAGCTGTATATGAGTTCCTTAACTTTTAAGGGCCTTCTTAAATTTTTAAATGTATGACCTGAGAATTTTACCTAAATGACCTCTCAGGACCCAGGACGTTTTATAATTTTGTGGGCATATATTGAGGCCACCTTTGAGCTCCTGCGGATAGACACACTGACACCGCACTGTCCCCTCGTCCTTGCCGGGTGGACAGGCGCATAGCTGGGCAGGCGTGTGGCACAGGTGAGCTTTCTGGGGCCCGGAGGCATGTCAACAACAGGCAAGTGGGAACCGTCTTCCCTGGGGGCAGGCAGTCAGGGGTGAGTTCTCTGTAGAGAAAGGAAAAACAGGACTAAAATGGACTCACAGGTCACCTTTTACGTGCAATTATCAACAATGTTGGTGACAAAATAACCCTCCCCCCAAATATTTTGTTGCCTAAGTTCTAAACCATTGCTACAGTTACTGTTGAGCTTTTAAGAGCTTATACGGAAGCTTAAAACGAGTGGTGCTTATTTCTCCCTCAACTTTGCACCCTGTATGGACGTCGTCTACACAGACTGCACTGTGCACGCTCATCTGAGAGAAAGTTCGTAGTGGTTTGAAATCTGCAGAGTGTGCTTCCACTCAGTGTGTCTCCACTCCCTGAAGACTACATACATATTCCTGCATTTGAACAGTAAATTCAGGGGTGCCTGGGTGGCTCAGTCAGTTAAGCGTCCAACTCTTGATTACGGCTCAGGTCATGATCTCACAGTTCCTGAGTTCAAGCCCTGTATCATGTTCTATGCTGAAAGTGTAGAGCCTGCTTGGGGTTCTTTTTCCCTCTCTTCCTCTCTCCTCTCTCTCTCTCTCCCTCACCTCTTTCTCTGCCCCTCCCTTGCTCTCACTCTCTCTCTCAAAATAAATAAACTTTAAAAAAATAAACAGTAAATTCAGAATGAACAATGGTCGCCCTGAGACCCCAAGAGCAGGGAACAGCCCTTGAAGTGACTCTGATGCTGCCATTCTCTGTGGCCCCTTAATTAGAATTTTTTTTATTGTTTGAGAGAGAGAGATACAGAGTGTGAGAGGGGGAGGGTCAGAGAGAGAGGGAGACACAGAATCCAAAGCAGGCTCCAGGCTCTGAGCTGGCTGTCAGCACAGAGCCCGACACGGGGCTCAAACCCATGAACTGTGAGATCACGACCTGAGCTGAAGTCAATTAACCGACTGAGCCACCCAGGTGCCCCTCTCTGTGGCCTGTTAGAGACTGTGACACAGTATGAACTAAAGGTAATGGTCATTTTGTTTGGTAAGTGTGAATTTTAGTTCATATGGGCAATATTTTGCTGAATTTGAATAAAATATTTGATTTTTTTTTAATGTTGATTTTTGAGAGAGAGAGAGAGAGCGTGAACAGGGAGGGACAGAAAGAGAGGGAGACACAGAGTCTGAAGCAGGCCCCAGGCTCTGAGCTGTCAGCACAGAGCTCGATGCGAGGCTTGAACTTGTGGACCCACAAGATCATGACCAGAGCCGAAGTCAGACGCTTAACAGACTGAGTCACCCAGGTGCCCCTTGAATAAAATCTCTGAAGCTAACATACATTCCCATTCAGTTACTCATTATCTTACAACTGAAGAGTGAGCCGAGAAAATGACTATTCCTGAAAATCATTTTGATGTAGGAGAATGGTGCCCCCAAATTACTTGCTTTCTGTATTGAATCTTCTGGTTTCAGAGCATTGTTCTCTCCTCACGTTTGTACTAGTTACTGGCCAACAGCCTCCAAAGAACAAGCGTCCAAAGGAGCCGGGAGAGAACAGAATCAAGCCTACCAACAAGAAGGTGAAACCCAAAATTCCTAAAATAAAGGACAGGGACGCAGCTGATGCCACACCAAAGACGCAGTCAATAATGATCCAAATGCTGGATAAAGGTCGCTTCCAGAAACCTGCTGCCACGCTGAGTCTGACAGCAGGACAAACTCTTGAGCTTCGATGTAAAGGGAACAAAATTGGATGGAGTTACCCTGCCTATCTCGACACCTTTAAGGACTCCCGTCTCAGGTGAGCATTTATTGTTATTTTTTTACTTGCGGTGGGTCAAAGGTCCTTCCCTTGTTCAATACTGTCTTGTTTCTGACATCTACGTTTTCACCCTAAGAGCTTATAAAAAATGAAAGCTCAAGGAGCAAGCACTGTAGATGTTGTTTCTTTTGTCTAGATTTTTAAAAATTATTGCAAATTCAAGGTGCCTGGGTGGCTCAGTCAGTTAAGCGCGTGACTCTTCTTTTCGGCCCAGGTCATGATCTCACGGTTCATGAGATCGAGCCCCATGTCACACTCTGCACTGGCAGCTTGGAGCCTGCTTGGGATTCTCCTCTCTCTCTCCATTCTTTCTCTCTCTCAGAATAAACATTAAAAAATCTTAAAATTACTCCACATCCTATCCACATGAGTTAAGACAGTGAAACTTTAGAGGAAGCCATGTGACATAATTGAAATTGATGCACAGAGATGTTTAAGAATTCATATCATAAAAATAACGAGACTGATCACTGCTTTCTGTCATTTTTATGGAATCCGAAAGAAAACTGCAATGCCCTAATTGGAGATGCCTGTGAGCAACTTGAGGCGAGGCCAACTTAAACTGGTTTTGAACTTTTCAACTGCTTCTGGTTTGTTTTTCCTTTCCTGAGCATAGGAGTTTTATATTCAGAGCTTCCGCCCGCGAGAGGCCCAAAGATTTCTCATGTTTAAATGAGGACCTTCAGGAGCCTGAGTTTCTTGTGCAGGAAAAGTGGTTAAGATGATTCTTAGGAAAAGTGGTAAAAAGCAAGAACATGGAGCACCTTCAGTGGGTTCTGGGAGGAGCCTGGGGCCTCAGGGGCTGAGGATCCAGCGCATATTTGGGGTAGGGTCCCCCAAAACCCCTGCACCTCCATTTCTTCATGCGTAGAATAAAGGGGATGGGATTGCATGATTTCTAAGATTCTTTCCGCCTTTTCTTCGTATGATTTAGGAAGGGGAAAAGCAGGGGGCGCTTGGGTGGCTCAGTTGGTTAATCGTCCGACTTCAGCTCAGGTCATGATCTCACGGTTCGTGGTTCAAGCCCCGCATCTGGCTCTGTGCTGACAGCTCAGAGCCTGGAGCCTACTTCAGATTCTGTGTCTCCTTCTCTCTCTGACCATCCCCTGCTCATGCTGTCTCTCTCTTTCTCTCAGAAATAAATAAAAAACATTTAAAAAAAAAAAAAAAAAGGAAAGGGAAAGGCAAGCTATGGCTTGTTTGGGATGACTTGGATAGAGAAATGGGCATCTCAGGCATCAAAAACTCCACATGTTCACTACAGGCTCATTTTCCACACAAACTCCACCCCTGCATATCTTCCCCTACTCAGAGGCTCAGACACTAACCTGGGGGCATCCTGGCCTCCCCCCACCCCCCTCCCTCCTCATACCCCACATCTTCTCAGTCTGACCGCAGCCCTCCTTGAACTCAGAATCTCTAGATTAGTCTCATTGCTTTCATGGGCCAGGACTCTGCACCTGGCTGACTTCAGCCTTGCTGTCACTTTCTCTGGGAAAGCTGTGTCCTGCCTCCAGGGGTATGCTTTCCTGTGGCTGTTCATACTTAGGACTCCTTTGTTTTTTAACTTTCTCTAATTAAAAAAAATTAATGTGTATTTTTGAGAGAGAGAGAGAGAGAGAGAGAGAGAGCAAGCTCGAGCAGGGGGAGAGGCACAGAGCAGGGGAAGGAGACACAGAATCCCAAGCAGATTCCAGGCTCTGAGCAGTCAACACAGAGCCCCACCTGGGACTCGAACCTACCAACTGGGAGATCGTGACCTGTGACAGAGTCCACTGCACAACCGACTGAACCACCCAGGCGCCCCAGGACTCTTTTTTTTTTTTTTTTTTTTTTTTTTTACAAATAGTTTATTGTCAGGGTTTCCATATAACACCCAGTGTTCATCCCCACAAGTGCCCTCCTCCGTGCCCATCTCCCCCCTCCCCCCCCACACCCATCAAGGACTCCTTTTTTTAAAATCTCTACTTTTCATGGGGCTTAACTGAATCCTTGGCATTTAGATTTACCTGTTGAATGACTAGCCAATCTTCTCCCCCGTCTTATACACGTACACCTTGCAGAATAAATAAATTAAAATATATGCAAGTAATATTTCTCCAGCTGTCTAACTTAAGACTTTTCCACATTTTGTTCTGAAGATACTCTTCTGGGTTCATGGGATGTAATAGTGTAGAATTTGACCTGAGGGCTGCTGGGTTGGATGAAGAGCCAGGGGTGAAACAATCAGTTTTTCCTGTTTTCATCTCCACATTTAAATTGTGTGTGTGCATCCCCTGCTTGGAACACATCTGGACAGATTTACTACCATATACCTTTTTTTTTTTTTTAATTTTTTTTTTTTTATGTTTTATTTATTTCTAGGAGAGAGAGACAGCATGAGCAGGGGAGGGTCAGAGAGAGAGGGAGTCACAGACTGAAACAGGCTCCAGGCTCTGAGCTGGCAGTCAGCACAGAGCCCGACGCGGGGCTCGAACCCACGAACCGTGAGATCATGACCTAAGCGAAAGTCGGACGCTTAACCGACTAAGCCACCCAGGCGCCCCATACCATATACCTTTTTAATGACTTAATTTTCCAAAGGAAAATTAAATAAAAATGTAATACACGTTTAAAACCAGAATTGAGCTATTTAAAATTATTCTGAACAGTTAATCTTGGACTCACACCAAATATTTTAAACCTAGATGATGTGACCCATGAAAATTTAGTATTTTCTAGAAGTAGTTTCGAAGTTGTTTTAGCCACAGTATGTTTGAAAATATCTTGAGGACTCCAAGTAAAGTGAACATGTATCTGAATTGAATAGAAACATCTAACATTAACTTGTATTCATTTAAAGCACAGTTGGGGCTTTATAAGAAAGTAAAGACAGATGTAGGCCCCCAAGGACTTTACAAAAAAATGTGAAAAATGTGAAAAACATCTAGTCATAACTCTGTATCAAACAACAATAACAAAATCATTTATTGGACACTAGAGATTCAACAAATTGACTCTTGACATCTTTCCCGGGACGTGGTACCTTTGGATAGAGGGGAGGTATTCATCCTATGTTTTCTTTTCCTGTGGAATGAGTTCTTTCCAGTATTCTGACAGCTTTGGGTTTGGAAGCTCCCCAGATGTGCTTCCAACAAAGCCTGGTCATTTTAAGGAATTTTGGTAGCTTTCTGGAATGAAGAACACAGTGCCACCACATTTGTCCAAATGTAATCTCCTGACCAGAAGAGGGAATGGGTTACGGAACAGAGAAGTCAGGCTGAGCCACAGCTAGATTGCAACCCTGCCTTTACTACTAACCAGAAAAGTAATCCTTTTTTTAAAAGTTTATTTATTTATTTTGAGAAAGAGAGGGAGAGAGTGAGAATGAAAGAATGAGAATAAATCCCAAGCAGGCTCTGTGCTGTCAGCACGGAGCCCAACTAGGAAGTGATCTCATGAACTATGAGGTCGAGATTCCAAAGCTTAACTGACTGAGCCACCCAGGCACCCCAAACCAGCAAAGTGATCTTTGCTCAGTAATTTGCCTAGAACCCACTTTCCTCATCTGGGTTATTGAGATTATACTATCTATTGTAAGTGCTACCTGGCCTGTAGTAAATGTTCAATAAATTGCAACTAATCATTACTAGGCAATGTATATTTCTCAAGCACAATAATCAAGTGATCTTTGGGGACTGTTAATTGTGACCATGACTCAAATAAATCAGGGAACTGTGCACAGCCAACATGACTTTTAATACAGAAGATCCACAAAAGACTGTATACATCTTTCCTTTTTCATGTAAATAATCCATCTTTGTAATCTGGGGTATCTGTCCCTCTTCCCCCATGAAAATCTAAGCCCCTTGCTGGTGAATACCATGTTTGTTTATTCATCAGCAGATTCCTAGCCCCTTGAATAGCACCTGACAGACACCAAAACTCAGGAAAGTTTTTGGTTTCCCTAGGAGTTTAGTGATTGTATCAGAAGCCAGTTCTTTTTTTTTTTTTTAAGGGTCTTTTTTTTTTTTTTTTTAACAAATAGTTTATTGTCAAATTAGTTTCCACATAACACTCAGTGCTCATCCCCACAAGTGCCCTCCTCCATGCCCATCCCCCCTCCCCCCCACATCCATCAGTCCTCAGTTTTTGTCAGCATTCAAGAGTCTCTCATGGTTTGCCTCTCTCCCTTTCCCCCACCATTTCTCCCCTTCTTCTCCCCCTTGTTCCTCCGTCAAGTTCCTCCTAATCCTCCTATACTTGCAAACATATGATATTTGTCCTTCTCTGCCTGACTTATTTCGCTCAGCATAACACCCTCAAGGTCCATCCATGTTGCTACACATGGCCAGATTTCATTGTTTCTCATTGTCATGTAGTATTCCATCATAGATAAACCACATCTTCTTGATCCATTCGTCCATTGATGGACACTTAGGCTCTTTCCATGTTTTAGCTATTGTGGAGAGTGCTGCTATGAACATTGGGGTGCATGTGCCCCTATGCCTCAGCATTTCAGAAGCCAGTTCTTAGCCATGCATTTGTTCATTCAACATTCAAAGATAAATACACTTAGTGCCAACGTGTGCACTGGATGTATGGGGTGGAGGGTGATGACAAATATGGATGTATTTTTATTGAGGGTGCCATGCCACCTTGGATCCATCCCCACGATCTCCACCTTTTGTTGCTTCACCTCATGAAGCCATTTAGTCAGCTGCCACCCTCTCTCGAACATCTCCCCCTCTTTATCCATTTTGTCCCCTTCTGTGCTCATTAGACACCAGAGTCTTGTTCCCACCAAACTCTTGAATCCATCCAAACCAAGTTATCTTATTACCCTCTGTTTTTCCTCCGTTCCTTCTTGGAAATTTCCAACCCCAAATGAACCTGTTCACCCACTTCTTGCCCACCCTTGGGCACTGAGCACTGTTGGAGGAAACCATGCGCCTGGCCGGACGGGTTCTGTTAGATCGTGGACACATTGCTTGTACGTG